ACGAGTATCGCGTACGTATAGGTAATAAAACTGTTTATCAGTGTGTTTTACGGTGGTTGGCTCTTCCGCTCTCTCGCGTTTTCGTAAATTAGCGCGTCCAGCTTTTAAAAGATGCCCAGTTCGAGTAATTAGTGGCTCGATCGGCCATCAATTTGCGGATGGTCGCCAGGCACCACATTCGCGCCAAATCGTTCCCGCCAGTACTATATTTTTTAGAATATATCTATCCAAAGCGAGTCACACACGGTGTTCCATAAAAAAATCACATGTTTTTTTTTAATAATTTCATTGTTAATATTCAACTTTAATTTACAAATATTATTTTTTTTTGAAAAGAACATATGTGAATAATTTTTTTAAGAGAAAAAAATAAAAGAAGTTGATTAAAATATCAGCATAGTAAAATAAATCGAGTCAAAAACTCGACATTCAATCAACACTGAAAGTGATAAAAAGGACGTGTAATAATTTTTTAAAATGAATTTTCAAGAAGAAAAATTTCCATAAAAATTCCATCAGCTTCTTCTCATTGCACAAGATATTCCAACCGGGAGAGTTGGAAAACCAGAATTGCAGCAGTTTCGAAAGCAGATAGTTGGGAAAGGGAGGGGAGCATCGAATATCGATACGCAGGAGATCACCCTAATTTCAATTCAATCCCTTGCCATTCTTGAACGAAACTTTTTTCCTATTTCACTCTAGAAACCATCATGCACAAAACTCTTTACTTGCTTTGTAGGAGAGGAAACTTTTTTACAACCCAGCAATAAAACTAGATTAAAGGGGGCGACTTGTGTTTTAAAATGAGATCACGTTCGCTACCCAAGCGAATTCCTGGATTTCACTGTCGTAGCCTCTTCTTTTTTTTTTAATTTATATTTTTTGGTCACCCTGTAGCTTTCGAAAAATCCGGATACATGTTGGGATATAGGCGCGAGGAACGAGTCACATCGATTGGAGGTGATAGTCCTGATATTTGTTGTATAGAGAATGGTATGTGTGTGTACATGTTGAGAGAGGAAAAGAGACGCTTGAATTTTAACGTATCGGTCACTAACAGAGAGGCTAAAAAGTAAAAAAATAACTTCAATATCGATTTTAGATTTTAAAGCAATGTACATTGTTATTAATATGGCTATAGGGTTGAAGTAATGTCACTAAATTAGAGATATTATGTTATGACTAAATAAATATAAAAATGAGAATTATTATTTAATAAAAATAGAATTTTTTTTTAATCAAAAATATATATGTTTGTTTTTAAACTTCTTTTATTGAAAATTTATTGGAAATTACTTAAAGACATTAATAAGTAAAAGCTTTAAAATGGGAGCATCACTAAGAAGACACTGTAAAGTAGTAATGGGAAAAATAAGTCACGTCCTAAGTAGGTGTAGCTGAGAGAAGAAGCATTCCAAAATAGGCGTTCCCAAAAACAAAATACGCCCTAAAATAGGCGTGGCTAAGAAAAGGAACACCTCAAAGTAGGTATTATTAAAAAGCCACGCCTTAAAGTAGGTATGTCTGAGAAAGAAACACCCCAAAACAGGCGTTGCTAAAAATAAAACACGCCCTGAGGTGTGGCTGAGAAGAAACGCCCTAAAAGAGGCGTGGCTAAAAACAAAATACACCGAAGTAGGTGTTGCTAAAAAGACACGCCCTAAAGTATGTATTACTGAGAGAAGAAACATCTCAAAATAGGCGTTGCTAAAAACAAAGCATGTCTTAAAGTAGGTGTGTCTAAAATAAGAAACGCCCAAAAGTAGGTGTTGTGAAAAGAAGACACGCCCAAAAATAGAATTATCTTTAAAATGATACTCTAAAATAAATAGAAAACACATAAAATAAGTATGACTAAAAATATCAATTTTAAATTAAAAATTTTCTTGTAATTAAATTTTTTTTATTGTAATATTACATTTTCATAAAGTTTGAATTTTGTTTAATCCTGGCAGAGCTTATGACGTCTTGTTTCCTTTTATTTGTCTTTTCTCAAAGTCACGCTGAGAAAGCTGGATTTAGAAAGGGAGCAAAAAGAGAGAAAAGGTTTGTGGGGCGAAGGGAAATGCTGTGCTTATCGTGAGCTGGTTCACGCGAAGATTAAAACGTACTTTGCAATAAAAGTGTAAAATCTCCTAGATGTTCCATTCATTTTTATCCTATAAAATTCTTTAAGCAATACTAAAAATTTAAATCTTTATTATACAAAGTTTTGAAGGAAAAGTATTTATACTTTAGTGCTTAATACAATTTCAAAATGAAATTAATTTAAAAATTCGTATAAACACTTTACCATCTTATTATATACAAAAGAACGTTTTACTTAAAAGTCTCAAATGATTTAAAGAAAAATAATATTGAATTTTAAAATTAAAATTAAAGTAATGAATAAAATTACTTTGTTGACATGTAAATGTAGTTGAAACTGTAGATACGCAAACAGATAATTAGATTAAGAGAATTTCTATCTTGTTAAACATATCAAAATGCAATTTGAACGAAACATGGGAGATGGAAAAACCCTGTTTTTTCATCAGACAGATTAGTCGTGATTTTTATTTTCTATTAAGAATTTTTTATTACGCCAGGTTATTTTTTGAAAAAACCTTGTTTTAATATCAGACAAATTAGTCGTGATTTTTATTTTATAATAATAATTTTTTATTACCCCAGGTTATTTTTTGACAAAACCCTGTTTTATTATCAGACAAATTAGTCGTGATTTTTATCTTCTATTAAGAATTTTTTATTACGCCAGGTTATTTTTTGACAAAACCTTGTTTTAATATCAGACAAATTAGTCGTGATTTTTATTTTATAATAATAATTTTTTATTACCCCAGGTACCACCTTATTATATACAAAAGAACGTTTTACTTAAAAGTCTAAAATGATTAAAAGAAAAATAATAATGAATAATAATAATTAAGTGATTAATTATTTGAAAAATGTGCTAAATGCTGAAAGTCAAAGTTTTTAATGTGACATAAATAATTGACTGATAATTTATAGTTAATAGTAAATGCAAATTATTGAAACTGTAGGTACGCAAACAGATAATTAGATTAAGAGAATTTCTATCTTGTTAAACATATCAAAATGCAATTTGATCGAAACATGGGAGGATATCTCGAGTGGAATATGAATGGAGCCGTATTAAATTATGAGATGTGTTACAGTCGAGTTCGAGTAGCGTCTATGCATTCGTCTGTAAATTTGATGTTTCAATTAGCAGATCAGATAAGTAACATCAAACTATAAATTTGTTTCCTCGCCTAGACTGCTAAAATATCATTCGTCTGGTTATAAACTTTATTCTATTAATATTAATAATTAATAGAGAAAAATTTTAATTTAAAATAGTGTTTTTAAATAACGTATGAGGAACTTTTTGATAGGACCAACAGCATCCGAGCTTCGAGGGGACCAAAATTTTTGAGTTAAACTTTCGTGAATAGCAGAAGAATTATCCCCTTTTTTGCAAAGAAAGAAAAAAAATTGTGACATTTGAAGGTGAGTGATAATTAAGAACGTAAAATATATAAATTGGATTGCAAAGTATTTTCGTAATTTGTATAGAATAGATCGAATAAATGTCACTTTGAATGAATGTAGTGTTTAGCGTGATGTTGAGTGCTTTACCAATTGTTCACTATACTGTAGGATGGAATAACATTTCACAAAGGAATGCGACATATTTAGTTACGGAACTCAGTGATGCCTCCATCAAACATCTACCCACAGAAATGTAACTCCGTGAGTTTCTGTTCACATCCCTTTCCGGTTGTAGGATGCTCAAGGCGAAGGCCCCCCTTTAACTTGAGCTCGTCAGCAATAACGTACATGCTGTGTCAAGCTTGAACTGCGCCACCCTTTCTCTCCCTTCTCTTCATCCTCCAAACACTCTCTTCATCTAGAGCAGCTCCACAAACCATTCTATCTTCGTCTTTCCTAATTTTCCCCTAATACCTTTTCCTACCTATTGAAAGTCACATCGATCAGCTAGCTGGGTGCCAAGGCTCCTTTTATTATCAACGATATCGCCTTCAAGGGAAGCTGCCCTTTTAAAAGTGTTCACTGAACCAAACACTATTCACTGATCGATCATATTGCAAAAAGCTTAGGCGAGACACTTAAAGAGAATCAGGTGAAAAGAGTCACTGAAAAGTGGATTTTGTTGTTTGACGTTTCAAAGGAAAGTAGTAAAAAGTAGATTTTTATCCTTTGAACTACAAAAGGAAAATTGACAATTTTCTACAGTACATGGACGCAAAATAGAACGTCAAAAATTTTTGTTTACATTCCCTTTTTTCTGAGACTAAAGATTTTACAAAAATTGCTGAACAAACAATTGTTGATAACGGTTTAGTAAGTGATAAAAGTTTTTTTTATTCCTATTCATCGAAAAATCATGTCAATTCAAAGAGAAATTTACATTAATTGATTATAAATAATTAATTGATTCAAAAATCTAATTATCTACAGATTTTACAGCTTTAAATGCTGCACATATTGAAGAATTTTTTTTTTCTGATCAAAGAGTGGTTGAAAATGACTATTCAGCAGAATCGAAATGGAACTGAGTATTTGAAAAAATCGCTGATTCTCGAATTACTTGACTTTGCGCCTTTTTATTCTACGATAGGTAAACCTCCATCATTTAAAATGTATTTTTCCACATACAAAAGAGTTGTTATTTTTATATTTTCTATATCAAAAGAAAAAAAAACATCTTCAAATTATTTTCAACTATTTTATAATAATGTGAAATTAAAAAAAAGTTTCTCTAATTATTATCATTTTTAAAAATAATTAATGTAAATAAAATTTTTGTTATTTCTTGAATAATTTTTTTTATTCACATTTTGTTTACGAATATTCATCTAGTAAAAATTCTAGAAGTTTGTCAGTCGATTTTTCATTTTTTAACTCTCCGCCATAAGGTTCTAAACCCCAGTGATTTGTACCTATCGTCTACGTCGCAGCAGGTAGTTACTTACGGGCTAAAGAAGGCCGAAAGTGAATCGCTCTCTGGTAGCTGAGAATGGCCTCTTCGTAGTTCCGTCTGCCTTGTTGTAATATCCCCCTGAAACAAGAACAAAAAGAAAATAATGAAATTAATTTCCTCCGGGAAATGCAGTCAGGAAATTAATCTACGAGTCTTTATTTTAAAACCCTGAAGCAAATTTTCACGGCAAATTGAACTGGAATTTTTCACTTGTAAAAAGATCAAGATCCTTTTGTTACCGCACTAAACCCGTGAATATAATTAAATTCATAATTTAAATTATGAATCTAAAATATTTCCGAGAGAATATTATGAGCTTATGGATATTATTGACTTATGAAAATAAATCTCTATTTATTATTCCCCATTTTTTTTTTTAGGGAGAAATTCAAATCTCTTAATGAAATTAATAAGGACTAAATCATTACTTTGAGATACTATTTTAAAAGCAATTTTATTATAATCTGAAGATATCTTCTATTATTAATTGTAAATTTTTATTTATTCTGCAATATTAAATTTCTTCATTAAAAATATTAATCTTGCAGATGTTGATAACTTTATTTAATTAATTTATAAACTCCTTGCTTTTGTAGAAAGTTGTTTGAAAATTTATTTTTACAAATCTCGAACATATATGTAAAGGTAATTTTAACTCAAGATCAAGTGTTTTTTAAATAGTATGATCCAGCCAAGCAGAAAGGTAAAGTTATCGACACTCGAGGTGCAACGGAGCTGTTATCGACATAATGTCTAGCTTGGTGAATATGGTAAAAGGAGAGAGAGAGAGAGAGGGCTGATTGCAAACTCGATTTTTTTAAAACTTTTTTGCAGAGTTCTTTTGCCAGAAGGTGTAATATTAGAACTCCGCTGTGCAAAAAAAGTTCGTCATGAATTATACTAAGCGAGAAGGTGTCAATAGTAAAAAAAAAATGGCAAAAACAACAAAAAAAGGGAGAAAACGATGCTTAAAAATATTGTGTACTTTAATCAATGGATTACTTTCATCAATCAAACAACGTCAGTCTGTCTCGAATGAAGTCATATTAATCTTTATTAGGCAAGTAATCAAGAAATGTAACTCATTTTTATGACCGAGTTGAATAAAATTTAGAAAATTGATCAATTTAGGGATATATACTCGGATTTATATGAAAACGAGGATTATTGCAATAACTTTGAGGGTGGAATTCTGAATTAAGTGATGCAAGAATTTTGGGTTCAATGATCAAAAGCAAAGCACAAGAGATTTTACCTTCTCTGATAAAATATGTTATTAGGATAATTTTAATAATACAAAATTAGGATAGATTTAATTAGTCTGATTTTTATTTTATATTAATAATTTCATATTACGCCAGGTTATTTTTTGATAAAACCTTGTTTTTTTATCAGACAGATTATTAGTGATTACGCCAGGTTATTTTTTGACAAAACCCTGTTTTTTATCAGACAGATTAGTCGTGATTTTTATTTTATATTAACTATTTTTTATTACGCCAGGTTATTTTTTGACAAAACCCTGTTTTTTTTATTTTAGGATGTATATTGTGACAGAACCACCATTAAACCAAGAGTGACATGACCCTGCGCAGATAGTTAAAAAACTCTAGAGCATGACGATTACAGCGCCACTGGTGAGAAGTGAGTAAACTAATTCATTTTATTAATTAATATTCATTAGTACAATTAAATAAATGCAAATGCAGACAGAGAAAAATTTTTTAATTTTATACATGTTTCACAAAAATATAAAAAGAAAAAATGTATAGTATAATTTGAAAAGATTATAAATGTTCCTGTTTATGAAAAGCGGCGTGAAATTTCTAAGGGAGAAAAATGAGTTTTGTCCAGGGCCGAAAATTAATTCAGAAACTGGTATAGCAAAAGGTGCGCAGGGCTTAGTGGCGTTCTCATGGGATCAGCACAGGTGTGCGGTTAGGTTAAGTCTAGCGAAGCTCATATACACAGTGCTTATAAATGTAATATATTTTACGCGCATAAAAGCATGGCAAAACCTAAATATATGCATGCTGGTTATATATATTTCGAAAAACGGAGTACATAATCTCACTTCGCATAAGATGGTAGTTTATCACGTTATGTAAGACTTTTAAGGGAAGTGAATTGAATTTGAGAAAGAGAGAGAGACATAAAGTTGAAACTTGAGATTGGTTGTTGTTGTTGTAAACAAGGGACAAAACCAATGCGTAACAAATGCGTTTTTCCAATTCATAAATTTCAAATATCCATTCAATTCCCTACGAATTTTGATTCGCGCGAAATCAAACAAATATTTTAAGAGCCACCGAAGAAAAATTTATCGCTTTACCAAACTACAAACATATAAAATAGGAATATCGAAGTAAACGTTCGTCTCAAAAAATGTTGTGAAAAAATATTTTTTTATTTCAAAAAAGAATTTTATTACTAATAAATTGTTACACAATTGTATATATAGAATTAAATGAGAATTTCCTGAGAGTAAAATCACCTAATATCCATAGAAAGCAAATTATGATATTACGCGATGATTAAAACGCAAGGATGACAGGTTATGTCAATTGGAATTAATCGTACGATCAATCAATTAATGTATGTCCATCTGTATCTCAAAATAGAGGAGAGTCACTAAAGGGGAGGATTAATGAAGCCTCACTCCAACTCTTGACCAAATCCCATATGGCTCTCTACTTCATGGTTCCTCCCACCCACTACTAGCAAATGCTGTTAGCATTGCTGCAGCCGATAAGCGCAGATAAATACCAATTGTGCCCTGTTTCCTATTTCCCTGAATAAACCCAACTAAAAGGGCTTCTATTTAGAATCGAAGTTGTTCCAACTTTGCATAATACAGCTTTCTGTTAATGTTAAAAAGTAAAATCCAATCTACATTTCAAATAAAATAAAAAAATTTTCTCTTCCTTGTAAGAAACAATTTTATTGGGATTTTTTAAAAAATATTTTTATTGAACCTTAATTATAACTGAAATTGAATTAAAAGTGCAAACGAATGACAACTGTTCAAAAAAAAAGGTTTTAACTACTAGTTTATGAATAAAAGTTTTTTTTTGAACTCTACTGTTGTGGATATTAAATTTTATCCACGGTCGTATTTTTTTGGAGATTTTATATAATTGCAATCTATATATATATATTGAACCGAACCGAATGAACTGTTGCGTAACAGTCTGTTACACTCAAAAAGTCCGTTATGAAGCCAGATTCGTACCAATACTGACTATTGGCGATAGCATATCTGCACCGCAATATTGGAGAATCGATAAAGGCTTTCTAAACCAGACTAGTTTTCCCAGAATAGCTTGCATTCTTCAAGATAATTTTGAAATATGCTAGGAACAAGAGAACTGAGAGTTAAGTCACGAAATCGTTTTAAAAGAATGTTCACAAGGCACTTGCTTAAATTTAAAAGATTTTTAATATTCTCTTTCTCAATATATGCAATAGACCAAAGAAAAAAAATTGTTTTTCAAATTATTATAAATTATTAATATTACAAAAATTATTTATATCCAAAATGAGATGGACAGTTAATCGTAGAAGAGTTTTACAGTGATATATTAGTAAGTAAATATTAATTATTATTCAAAAATGTCGAATGAAGAACTAGTTGATATTTGATTTGAATGACTTTTTAAATTTGCATTTTCGTATGTTAAACTCAATTTTTGAAGTGCATGGCCATAAATATTCTTATACGTACATAAATTGAACTGTAAGTTTTATGAGAATGAAAGCTTAGAACATTTTGTATTAGGTCTCACGCTCGAGCCCTTACAACCAAAAAAAAAGAGATTTATTTCAGAGGGCTATGGATTTATTTTAATGTGCTACTTCATTCATCTGTTATTCTCCCCCCAAAAAAAGAGTGTTATTTTTTTTGTTTAATAAAATTCTTTACATTTGAAAATTATGTGTTTCAAAAATAGTATCATGGTTAAAAAAAAATAACAGTGAATCACTCTTTGGTATAATAAATTGAAATTTAATATTAGTTTCTTTTTGATTTATGAAACAATCAACGTTAATTACTTCAATTCTAATTAGACATTATATTTTACTATTATTTTCAAACTCAACAAACTCTATTACGTGGATTTGCATGAAAATTACATACTGCGCACATGCAACACAATATCCTCAATTAAGCCTTAAAGACTTTTTAATATCTTCATTAGAGGTTGAAGAAGAAATATTGATTATTCTCACAGCAAATAATACACAATTCTAAAATTTTTTTTTTTCGAAAAAAGGTTCAAAATAAATTTTCAAATATGTTACATGTATTTTGGAAATTATTATCTCATGCTTCATTCGAAATTGAATGAGAAAAAATATAACGAAAAAAACACTATCAAATATCTTTGATTTTTTTTACACATACAAAAAAAATTTTAATGAGAAGAAAAAAATAGTAAACTATCAAAAAAAGGGCTGTTTTTGTTTTTAAAAAGAATATCATATTCGATATTTTTCTTTTTGATAACGAAAAATATTTTCTAATTTTTCATGACTAAATTAAAAATCAATATTTGGGAGGAATAATTGTTTTTTTTTTATCCTCAATAATTCAAAATGATGAAACAATTATAATTTTAATGGTTTGTGCAAATAATTTATCTAATCTCTGAAATGAATTTTCAATTAGTAAACCAATTCACAATGAGAATTTCCCATTAATTTAATTTGCTATAGCGATTGAGTCGATCAATTACGTCTGCCCACTGTTGCGAAACGGAGCAACATGCGATTTGACGCTTCGTCACTAGAGCGGTCACACATCCGATTTCCGTCAATCGAATGAAGCTAGCAACATCACTTGTTTTCAAACAGTTAACATCATTGCTTACATTTATACTATTGAGATTCGTCCTCTCTTGACTTGTTTTCGTCGTTTATGGCGCGGCGGCCAAGTTTTCAGACATCAAGTCGTATTGGGGGCGCCTTCGAGTTTAGCGGGTCGTCGTTTACAAAGTAAATCGTCCTCTGGGAGATTTTCTCATTCGGAGGGAAGAAAAGCTCTCTCTCTTTCTCTCTCTTTCTTTCTTTCTCTGATT